TTGTTCCTTAATTACCATTGGTTTATGTTCATATGCTTACTTCAGAAACATTTCAGTGTCAACCAGTTCTTTTTGGTACAATAACTCCATGTTTTCCCTTCACCTTCTTTTGATGTTTTCTAGATCATTCACGATTTTGCCCATCACAGCTCCAAGTATTGCAACTTGAGGCTTGAATTTGAGTTTTCAGTTTTAAAAGTGCCAAGAGAGTTTCCCCCTTTTTATTATCCAACTTCAGCTCTCTGCATTCTACTATAATACTTTGTCTTCGCGAGGTGCTCTTTGAAATCTTCTGTTCACCTCTTTTACTTCAGCATCTCTTCATTTGGTTTTGGCTTTTCAACTCTCTAGTAACTGAAGCTCAATATATATATATTTTAAAAATGTTGACCCGACAGAGTGTGGAAATTATTATCACTAATATCACATACAAGCAAAATCTTGCTGAAGAGATTATCCAAAAACAACCTAAACAGTATATTAAAAGTGAACACCCAGAAATACAAGCTGGATTTAGAAGAAGCCATAGCACTAGAGGCATTATCACTAACGCCAGATGGATCTTAGCTGAAAGCCAAGAGTACCAGAGGAATGTCTATCTGTACTTCATTGACTATGCAAAGGCATGTGACTATGTAGACCACAACAAACTGTGGCTAGCCTTGAAAAAAATGGGAATCCCAGAACACACTTGATTGTGCTCATGTGAAACCTATACTTGGACCAGGAGGCAGTAGTCAGAACAGAGCAAGGAAACAATGAATGTTCAAAATTAAGAAAGGAGTGTCTCCTCCATAACTTTTCAATCTATATGCAGAACAGATCATTTGAGAGGTTAGACTTTATGAGGAGTGTGGCATCAAGATTGGAGGAAGACTTATCAACAACCTGCATTATGCAGATGATACAACACTCCTTGCCAACAATGAGGAAGGCCTGAAGTGTTTGCTGCAGAGGATCAAGGACTGTAGTATTCAATATGGATTGAAGTTTAACATCAAGAAGACAAAGATTCTCACCAGCACCATAATAGATGGAGAAGATAAAGGGGTTGTTAACAATTTCAGTTTGCTTGGCTCCACAATCAACACTCTTAACAACAGCAGTCAGGAAATCAAAAGACGAATTGCATTGGAGAAGTCTGCTGTCAGGGACCTTTCAAAAGTGCTGAGAAGCAACGATGTTAGTCTAGAGACTAAGATGCACCTGATCCAGGCCATGGTCTTCACAATTACATGTTACGTATTAGAGAGCTAGACAATGACTAAGGATGACAGAAGAAAAATGGAGGCCTTTGAGTTGTGGTTCTGGAGAAGAGTACTGAACATACCATAGACCACCAGGAGAACAAATAGGTCTGCCTTGGAGAAGGTGAAATCAAGTTTCTCCTTGGAGAGTAGGATTCTGAGGCTGTCTCTTATATACTATGGATATGTGGCCAGAAGGAACCAGTCCTTGGAGAAGGACATCATGCTTGAAAGGATGGAGGGATCACATAGGAGAGGAAGACCCTGGATGAAATGGATTGACATACTAACTGGGATAATGAGGGTAGGTCATGAGGTGTCAGAGACAGTGACTGGCTCAGGACAGAGCAGGGTTCAGAGTTACTGTACATATAGGGTCATTATGACTCATGGTCGACTCAACAGCACATTACAACAAGTGCAATTTTCAGAGACTCTTCTGACATCCATTTTGGTTCTTTCTTTTCTTTGTAATGCCATTTTCTCTATTCATGTGTAATATCTTTGATCTCATCCCACAACTCATTTTTTTTTAGTCTTCCATCATTGTTGTTCAATACCTCTAATCTATTCTTAATACTCAATAGCAACCAAGGAACACACTGTGGTTTAAAATTAAGAAAAGTGTCCATCAGGGTTGTATTCTTCTTCCATACCTATTCAATCTGTGTGCTGAACTAATCACTTGAGAAGCTGACTCTATGAAAAATGTGGTACAAGGATCAAAGGAAGACTCAACAACCTGCATTAGGCAGAAAATACAACCTCGCTTGCTGAAAGTGAAAACTTGAGGCGAGCTCTGGTGGCCTAGTGGCAGGAAACTGCACTGCAATCCCAGAGGTGCGTGGTTCAAATCCACCAGATGTTCTGCTGAAGAAGGAGGAACAATCGCCTCCTGTACCAGTCAGATCCAATTTGACGGTACACACATAAGATAGATAGATAGATAGATAGATAGATAGATAGATAATATTTAAAAAAAAAAGAAAGTGAAAACTTGAGGTGCTTGTTACAGAAGATCAAGGCCTTCAATATGGATTACATCTCTACATCAAGAAAACAAAAATTCTTACCACTGGACCAACCAAGAGGCATCATCATGATAGATGTAGAAAGACTGACATTGCCAATGATTTCATCTTATTTGGATCCACAATCAAAACTCTTGGTATCAGCAGTCAGGAGATGTATTACATTGGAAATTCTACTGTCAGGGACCTTTCCAAATTACTGAGAAGCAATGATGTCAGTTTGAAGACTAAGGGTCACCTGATTCAGGCCATGATCTTTTCAATCATTTGTTATGCATCCAGGAGTTGGACAAGGAATGACAGAAGGATGCCTTTGAATTGTGGTGCTGGGTAAGATTATATCCCATGGACTGCCAAAAGAACAGCTAAGTCTTGGGAAAAGTACAGCCAGAATTGTAGTTGGAGGCAAAGATGACAAAGTTTTGTTTCGCATACTTTGGGCATATTTTTAGGAAAGGCTATTCCTTGGAAAGGGACATCATGCTTAGAAAGGTGGAGGGTGGGTAAAAGAGAGATAGACCTTTAACAAATGGACTGACGCAGTGACTCAGAAAAAGCTCCAGTATGTCCAAGACGATCAGATGGCTCAACTCAACAGGACCTAACAACAGAGGAATGAAGTCCTGCCTGACGCCTGCTACAATGTCGGTGGGCCTTGAAAACATTATGCTGAACAAAGTAAGTCAGTCACAAAAAGGATAAATATTGTTCGTTGCTGCTGTTATGATGTAATCTCAAGCTGAAAGTGACTCATAGCTGACCCTCCAGCAGGTTTTGTCTGTAAAACACACAAGCGGAGACTGCCCATTTCCCCCCTTGAAGCAGCTGGCAAAGTAGACCACATACATTTGGGTTTAAGCACTGCTTCTAACCATGAGCCCACCAGAGCTCCCTCATTATATGGATATCTACAGTAGCCAAAAGTGTGCAGAGATCCAAGTTTACTAGCGGTGAAAAAGTGGGCAGGGAGGAGGGGCAAGGGCAACAGAAATACCTGGGAACAGGTGATGGTGTTGACCATTAATGGACACATTTACTATCACTGACATTTTAAAATTCTAAGACATGCTACAATGCAGATGAACCTTCAAAGCATTACTCAAAGTGAAAAGAAATCAAAGCCATGCTGGGTAGTTCCATGTATGTGACACATACAGAGCAGATAAAGCTGTGAACACAAGAAATGGACCACAGGCTGCTGGATGCTGAGGACTGGGCAGGGAGAGTGGGAGAGGCAATCTGACAGACTGACAGGACAGTGTGGGAGCTGGACGTGGTGGCTGCACAAAAGAAGATGCATCAAATGTCAATTTATTTTATGGGACTTTGAGCTCAATAAACTACTTTTTAAATTAACATTTCAGTGTTTAAAAAGGGAAAAAACCCAACTTAACCCTAAATACACAAAGATTATGTCATTCACACAGAAGCTACAGCAAAGCTGGTATGTCTCAATTGAGATTGGACTGTGACCTGCTTGGATTGTGGCTCACTGTAGACAGGACCCAGCTGAGGCTGTGCAGGCAAGTCAGTCACACAGGTAAACTGGGGTCCACGTCTCCCCGCCTGGCCCTAGTGCACTGCCATCACCGCAGCTGCACCACGTCCAGGAAGGAAGACAGCAGCATCAAAGTTCTCATGAGTTAAAATGGACTCATGCCAGGCTCTCTCCAGCCAAAGTGGGATCTCCACAGGACCCGAGGAACCCTCGTCAGAGGTCCTGCCTTCAGTACCACCTCCAGGTGACTTCTGTTTGGCAGCCCTGCTCCCCAAGAGAAAGTCGAACCATGTCCACCAAGCCCGAGGGATGAGACCCTGAATTGACCTGAGTGGGGACAAAGCTGGTCCAAAGGAACCAAAAAGCCAAAAGGCCTTGTGCTTGGAACCAGACAAACAGGAATGGGAATGGGGAAGTACATTTGCATTTTATGTGCAGTTTTCCTAAATGTAACATCTGACTGAATATCCAGTGAAGGGCCTTCATCAACCTGACCATGGGTCCCCACACCATCCCATACTTCACTCTTCCCAGGCCTAAGGCTTGTGGGCAAGAGAGACTGCAGGGGTACATGCTCAGAGTGAGTAGGCCTAGTGCAGGCAGCAGGCTGGAGCAGCCTATCTGTGCTAGTGGGGGCGGGAACTGAGAGGAGAGGGCTGTTCCAGCAGGCAGGGACACATCCTGGGACACAGATGGCCCTTTGTCATGGCCTGGCTGGATGTGTCTCTAAGACAAAGCCCCTCTGTCCCTGGGTGGGCTCCCCTCCACTACAGGATTGCCCCCAGGAAGTGGGCAGTCTCCTGGGATCCTAACTCCACTCACTCACATCTCATGGCCTCAGGGGCTGTCCATGGTCAATAGGACTGTAGGAGTCCTGAGCTCTCTAGGCAGGGCTGGTCCCTCCAGAAATGGCCTCACCCTTAGCAAGTCAAAGACCCTTTCCATAGTGAAAGATCTGAGAGGATCAGGAAGATGGACCAGGCATCAGCCCCCATGGAGGATATGGAGATACCCTTGAGTGGTTTATGAGTCTGTTCCAGATGATGTCCATGGTGACCAGGTGAGGCCTCTGTGAACCCTGGGCAAGGGACAGTACGTCCAAGCAGTCAGGGTAACCCCAGCCCAGAGTGAGGCCTGAGGACTCTGTGGTTACACTGTCCCTGGATCCACTGAGGACAGGCTAAGTCGGCTGGACCCTTGCAGCAGATGGTCCCTTCGAGGCCATCAGTGTCCACTAGGTGGGATCCAGACAACGCCCGGCAGTGCTCCCATCAGCCTGGTCAGCTCCCGCAGACAATGCTGTTGCAGCTGGCAGAGCGCCGCCTCCAGGCAGGCCTCCTTCCTCCTCAGAGCCCCAATGGCCTCAGTAGCCCACAGGCCCCTGCTCAACGGAGCTCTGGTCTTGCTCCTTACCAGCCGATGTGGCCCATGGGGCTGGGCCAGGTGGTCCCCACCCTCCCAGGCCTGCTGGATGGCTGCCAGCTCCTGCCCCACGGCCTCCTGGGAAGCCTGCATGGCAGCACTCCACTCAGGCCCCTGGCCCAGGACCTGCAGGGAGGAAGAGCATCTCAGGAGGCTAGGCAAGCCACCCCCACCCTCCTTCACCAAGCTTCACGCAGCCCGCCCATGCCTGCACCCATCTCAGTCAGCACCTGAACCCCAAAGCCAACACCGAGCTCAGCCAAGAGCCTGGGGAAGACCAAGCTCCGAAACCCACCCATCATCCCAGGGGTCCTGCCCACCCTACATGGGCTCTGACCAGATTCCTGACCTCTAGGGGAAGCACCACACAGCTGGCCCTGGCCCTGTGGATAGCTGGCCAGTCCTCACTCCCTCAGAGAAACTGTAGAGGCTCGCTGCCACGAGGTCCAACCCACATGCTGTAGACACCAGCCCACTCTGTGCACCAAGCACAGATGCTGAGTCTAAGGCAGCTGCACAGAACCCACCTGGAGCACATGAGTGGTCCTTCACAGGCTGTGCTGAAGTCTCAAGTGCTCTGCACAGGATAAGGAGAGATGGCCACACCCACCCACCATCCACCCACCTCCAAGTGCTCCACTGAAGCCAGCTTCAAGAAAATAAAGGGCTGGGGCAGATGCAGTCACGCTGGGCAGGGGTGAGGCCACAACAGGCTGGTGGACCTCTGTGCCCAAGAGGAGCCTTGAGCAGCTTGGCAGGAGACCAGGACTGTACTCTTGTGAATCTGGGATCAAGTCTCTCATCTTATCACTAGCTGAATCTAACCGCACATGCCTTCTAGTTGGGACAGTGCTGGGAGGGGCTGGAGGTCCTTCACTCACCTGGACCTTCCAGGAGGCCCGCCGTGCTGCCAAGATGGCATGTAGCTCCTCCTGCAGTGCGTGCAGTTCCAGAGCCACCAGCTCTAACTCCTGAACCCCTTGGTCATGGATGCTGGGCAGAAACATGGGTTGTGAGCCACTGTCAGGAGGACATGCAGTGAGGACTGTGTCCTGTAGAAAGACCCAAGGAAAGGGGAAAGATGACATCGGCCCCCCAACACCATACATGGTGTGGTAGCCAGCAGGGCCAAGGAAGCAGGCACAGAGCTGGGCAGCTATGGTCACTCTGCAGGTGCAGCATCCACAAAGAACCAAAAGTCAAATCTCCAGAAGTCAGGGCCCCTGGGCCAGTGGCTCCAAGAAGGCAGAAAGCTTGGGGTGGACTGAATTCCCCACCCACAATGGAGGGTGCACATCTTGGCTATGTTTTCTACATTCCTAGAACCACGTACACCTTCACCCAGTCACCTCAGTACAGCAGCTGCCTGGCAGCAAGCACACAATGGGGGCTCAAGATTCTAGGGACTTCAGAAACCCTAAACTGAAGACAGAGGTCAGGCAAATGAGGGGCTGCCAGCCAGAGAGTGGCCTGGACAAATAACCACCAGACAGGTTCAAGGCCCCAGTGAGTGCAGAAACAGGTACCTCCTGTATGGAATATGATTCAAGACTCAGAACTTACAGCTACTGCCAAAGGAGGCCCCCATCCAACATCCCTGACCCAGCTCCCCAGGCCCGGGCAGGAGGCCCCCTTCCAGCATTCCTGACCCTGGCAGGAAGCCCTCCTACAACACCCCTAAACATAACAGGAGGCTCTCCCCCCAACATCCCTGACTCATGCTGGAGGTGCCCTCTAACACCTCTGACCCAGTTCCCCAGGCCCAGGCAGGAGTCTGCCTCAAGCATCCCTGACCCAGGTCTCCTGACCTGGGCAGGGAGCCTCCCCTCCAGCACCCCTAACCCAGGCAGGAGGATTCTTGAACCCCTGACCCCAGAATGCCTAAGGCAGAGGTCTTGCTGTGTGAACAGGTGGGATGCGGCAGCTGTGGGGCAGGACAAGATGTGTCTAATCGCAAATGAAGACTCTCATCAGGTGTTGACAACAGAGCTCAGGCCATGCACCAAGGTGGACAGGACACTGCCACAGCCAAGGCCTAAGCTCAAAGCCCATGCCAACCAGGGCGTTCCAGTCGCCCTTTCAAACTCATGGCGGCTGACAGGGATAGTCCTACAGGGGACATCACTGCTGGAATCAGGTTGCCGAGGTCCAAGCACAGAGTACCAAGAGGCTTTCTGTCCCTGACCCATCAGGGACACCAGCTGCCACAGCACAGAGACAAAGCAGTCAGGAAGTTCTCATCTGGGGAAACAGGGAGACCGCTCCCAGCTAGGGGAAAGGCAGGAGGTGCCCCTTACCATCCACTGCCAGAAGACCGGCTCCAGGCGCCGCCACTCGAGGGCGGCCTCCAAGCGGGCGTTCTCACGCTCCAGCGTCCACAGGAGCTGCAAATTTCCATGATAATCAGCACAGCCTCACACACCCATGCCTCCCACTGCCCATTCCTATCGAGACCACACTCCATACCGTCCTCCTCAGACACGTTACATCTACAAAAAGTCACTTCAGATCTTCTCAGACCTAAACCCCAAAACCCTATTCTCCAGACTCACACCCCGTATACAGTCTCCTAGACCCACACCCACACCTCATACAGTCGCCAAGACCTACACCTTATATACAATCCCTCAGACCGTCCTCATATACAGTCCCCCAGACCTACGCCCCAGAGTCCCCCAGACCCAGATGTCAGACTCACACCTCACACACAACGCCACATACACTCACACCCCATACTCAGTTCCCCAGAGCTATACTCCATACACATTGCCCCCAACACCCACACCGCACCAAACTCATACCCATATACTGCCCCGACAAGAAAACTCATAGTCCCTAGATTCATACCCCATAAACAGTGTCCCCCACATTTACATGCAATAGTCTCTCAGCCCCATATCCCAAACACAATGTTCCCTAAAGCCACACCCTATATACATTGTCCCCTACAACAAAACTCGTAAACACTGTCCTTCAGATCCACACCCCATACTGCTCCCTAGACTCACATCCCATTCACTATCCCCTAGACCAATACTCTATACACACTGCCTCCCACATCCACACTATATAAACACTGCCCCCAAGACTCACACCCCATTCACTGTCCCCCACCCCTCACAGCCCCTCTCCTGTCCTCTCCCTCTGCTCTGAGGAAACCAAGTTCTCATGCTCACACACCTAACAGCTCCAGGCTGGCATGTAGAACACACATGTCCACAGGCCAGGACCTGTACGCATCTGACAAGAAAGAGAATTTGCCAAGATGCCCTGCTGGGAGTTTGAGGGGGCCTGGGAAGAAGCAGCAGCCCACCTACTGCAGCTGAAGAGGGCTAGCCAAATGCCATCCCACTGCCTGCTGGACTCAGGGCACCAGGGTCCAGTACAGGGAGTCCCCTTGAGCTGGGAAAACAAGCAGGCCCCCTCAGAGCCAACAGCAGTTCACCTAGCCCAAGGCTATGGCCTGAAGGTTCATGACATCCTCCCCTGCCCACCACAGTCTAAGGTAGTGTGTCAAGGATGGAGGAGGCAGGCTCCGCCAGGGGTCAAAGAAAACCACCCAAAACCACTCAGAAGCACACGTGGACATTCACACACCAACTACTAGTCTTTCCAGAAACTTCTAGGATCTGAATCAGAGCACCAGCCTTTCAGGGAGGCTGAATCCAGGCTAGGTCACCCCCTCTCCCAAATTCTTGGGATGAAAGCAAAGGTGGCCTCAGGCCACTTCTGTGGCATAGCAGGCATCAGAGAGTGGAGTCTGGCCCAGGATGTCCCCAATGCCCCACACTGGAGGTGGGAAGCCTGCAAGTCATCTGTCCTAAGGATCAGAGCCAAGGGCAAGCTGGACATGAGACCATCAGGGAAGCAACCAGAACAAGTACAGATTCTGCACAACTGGGCCCAGCAGAGTCGACCACGGCACAGACAGGGCCCAGGCCAAGCAGCCACAGAAGAGTGCCCTCCGATGGCCATACACTCCATCCCCACCTCAGGGTCACGACAGCAGGAGCCAAAAAGGGCACCCTAGTCAATACCAGCCCAGGAAGGAGACAGTGCTGATGGGTAAGGAGGCAGCTGAGAACAGGAAAGAGGTGAGCAGTGGCTGGGCAACGAAGACACCATCCTGAGTCTCTTACAACTCCCAAGAGTGCCCAGCAGTCCTGAGGAGCCAAGGACAGTGAAATTATAAAGACACGCAGCTCAGAGTATGGCAACACCCAGGACCCCAATATCCCACCATTCCAAGAGGCCCTCTCTAGAAGGCATGCGCTCCCACCTGCTGTGTGCCCCGCCCACAGGACCAGAACCTATGTCCAGCTGGTGAGCCTCCTCCTCATCTGCCTCAGCTTAAAGGGACAGCCAGCTGGCCAACTGACCGGAAGAGATCAATATTTGTTCCCATTCCAAAGAAAGGTGACCCAACAGAGTGTGGAAATTTTCAAACAATATCATTGATATCACATGAAAAGCAAGATTCTGCTGAAAATTATCCAAAAATATTTGGAACAATATGTCAACAGAGAACTGCCACATGTGCAGGCTGGATTTAGAAGAGGTCGTGGTCCTAGGGATAGTATAGCTAATGTTAGATGGATCTTGGCAAAAAGCTGGGAATACCAGAAAAATGTCTATCTGTGCTTCATTGACTATGCAAAGGCTTTTGACTGTGTGGATCACAACAAGCTATGGTTGACTCTGAGAAGAATGGGAATCCCAGAACATCTGATTGTGCTAATGCGAAACCTTTTCATCTCCAGAGTAATATATGATCATCCCACTCAAAATGCCCCATGCAAGTCTATCTCATCTCACCAATGTCTAGTATGTCAATATTTATGCGTTCTATTTCTTCCTTAACAATATCTAATACTCCTACATTGATGGTTCTCACATTCCATGTCCCAATCACTAGTGTCTTTTACAACTGTTCCTCTTCCTTTGTATTTCCATACTCGAAAGCTCAACCTCAATTGCCCTTTCTATTATCTACATGTGTTCTGTTGTGCATAGGGTTTTCAGAGGCCTGCTATTTCGGAAGTGGATGGCCAATCCTTCTTCGTAGTGTGTCTTAGTCTGAATGTTCAGACATAGAGAAGTATCCAACAGATAAGCATTTTACAGAAAAAGTGAAAGATATATCCCTTATTGTGAAGTTAACCATTAGTATCAGTGTTGTCCCTGCCTTTGGCACACGTGTCTTTACCCACTTATTTCCCTCCCTCCACCACCCACCAGGATACCCATCCACTTCTACCCACTCCCTTCAACATCTATCTCCCATTGTCCAGCCCTTGATCTGACAGCTTATATCTGAAGCTTCCTTGGCTTCTGTGATTCCAAACACGTCAGCTGCTGATAGTTTCTTATGCTGTGACCAGTGTCTCTTAAGACCAAGAGGCAGTCATCAGAACAGAGCAAGGAAACACTCATAGTTCAAACTTGCGAAGGGCATATGCCAGGGATGTGTCCTGTCTCCATACCTTTTCAACCTGTATGCAGAACAGATTATCCAGGAGGCTGGGCTCTATGAGGAGAAATGTGGGGTCAAGATTGGTGGAAGATCTATCAACAATCTGTGTTATGCAGATGA